CTGTATGTCATATTCGACTACTTTCACAGTACTCACCTCAGCATTTTTCTACCTATGTTTCTGTCTCTAACATCATCTTTGAAATACTCTCCCGTTCCTCCTATCTTTCACCTTTTTTTTCACTTCGATTTTCCTCCTTCTTCTCTGTGAAGCCTGAAGTCAGCTAAAGAGCTAATGATAAAAACGCCTGCCATTTGCGAAGTCAGGTAAAGAGCTAATGATAACTATCAAAACGCCTGCCATTTGATATAAAATAAAAATAAATATTCGATGTTTCTCCAGACAAACGTTTGGTTGATTCAATAATCCTGTGTTTTGAGGTAGGTCTAGACATGGAGAAAAATGCTGAGACTCCAGTATCTAATGGAATGTAGTCCTAGTCCATATGGTACTAACCAAAACTTTATATTGCCGAGTTAAAGATTCCTCCTAACCCCTCCCCCTTCCCCAATAGTATTTATTTATTTATTTCAAATGTCAGGCTTTGTGATATTTATCATTAGCCCTTAAACTTTGACTTCAGCTTCACCCAGGGGTGGGGGGTGCATATATAGCAGTTAATTAATAGCAGTTCATTCTGTGGGGGGGGTACTTTTATAGCAGTTAATTAGTAACAGTTCACTAGCCGTCTTCTTGCTTCCCAGTATCTCTGGCTTTCCGTCCTTGTCTTTAGAACTGGACATCGAATCAGGTGGATCTTCTCCATTTCCTCCTGTAGATTACATAAAGGGCACGTGGGTTGAGTGCATACTTCCAATCTGTGAAGATGTTTTGCCAAGCAATCGTGTCCGGTACGTAGTCTAAACTCAGCAACGAGTTAATCTCGAGTTATTAAAGAAAAAATGAATTGATTGATAAAAGTACGCCAGGGACTCATTTTCCCCAGTTAACATAGGCATTCGCTAATAGGGTTCATAATTTAGTCTTTAATTGCACGTTGGAATGACCTTTACCTAGAAAGCTTGACTCACCACAATATGACTTCCCCAAATTAATTGTACCCAATCGTGAATTAGAAGCTGTTGGTTTGAAGAATTTTGCTATTTCATTAACCTGAAGAGGAAATTTGATACCATTTACGTTCAATGTTTATTGACCTGAAGTTATCATTTTAAAATTTGTGTGCAGTGTCAAGACCTTACTCCTATAGAAGACTTGTAGACACAACGAAGTTCTGGAAATTTGAAAAAAAATCCAGAGAAAAGTTTTTCGGCATTCCATTTGATTTATCAAATTACTATTAAGGATAATGCTTATGTTATTTCATAACATTTCAATTTAAAATGGAAGAATTTTGTCACGGTATGCTGATCGAGTAAGTCGGTTTTGGTCCTGCCAGATGAACTCACGAGGTTCCCACTTAAACATGAAAACTGCGCATCTGGAAAGGATCCCTAAATGGGATGGTTATCAGTTGAAAGAAAAAAACAGTATAAATCAAGAAGTTAATCACCTTCAAACATATCTAGGGTCACTATTTTGGAGGAGACAATGGTAGAGCAACATCTCAGGAGTTAAGCAGCAATTCGTAAGGCAGCAAAACAATAATCGTCGAAATATGGCCGGTAACGATTGACTTAATACTGCCAGAATGTCGTTGGTTGAATTCTGCACTCATAGAAATCTCACATCCACATTTCAGTGAAGAAGATCTCGATTTAGGTTGCAGTGAAAAAAAACATTTACAGTTCTCTCAACAAGGAACTTATTCGAGTAATTTAAATCTCTTATGAAGTAAATTGCTCTTTGATCTGATAGTGAGTTGCCAGTTTTATATTTATAAATGCAAATATCTAAATCCGAAGGAAATTCAAACTGGAACGATGAAGAACTTACTATTTTTAAAGGTTCGTGTAATAAGCAGAAATTCCTAGGAATTGTTGTCAGGATACTGCCTTCTTCCTGGTTGGTTTTATTTTAATAAGAATATACATGATGGTGACTGAAAACTCACTTATCATAATGCCATCCTCAATGCTACAACGGATTCAGCAAGAGGATCTTCAGAAGGCTGTTGAAAACACGTCACTTTGTGAGCCTACTGCCAAGAACAGACGCACTAATTTTTCAAAATTTCACGGAACCGATCTTCATACTATTTTCCTAACCAAGTATCGCCATTTCTCTGTGCCTTCGTAGCTCAGGGGTTAGAGCACTGGTCTCGTAAACCAGGGGTCGAGAGTTCGATTCTCTCCGAGGGCATTGCACGCCGTCGTGGCCAGTGACAACTATTATAAAGCCCACTATTTGAAATAATAATAATACTACCCATATCCACGATATTAACTCAATATATGTCCAAAGGAGTGTGCGATCGACTTACCTCCACGTGGTGCACCCTGGGCAACGTATACTCATACGGCAAAAAGTCTATTAACCGGCAGTTGACTTCAAACTATCGGCAAAAAAATTCTATTAACCGGCAGTTGACTTCTGACTTCAACGCAAAAAGGTCTATTAACTGGCAGTTGACTTCTCACTTCACAAAAAAGTCTATTAACCGGCAGTTGACTTCTGACTACTCAAACGGCAAAAAAGTCTATAAACCGGCAGTTGACTTCTGACTGAAAAGGTCTATTAACTGGCAGTTGACTTCTGACTTCAAATAAAAGTCTATCAATCGGCAGTTGACTTCTCACTTCAAACTAAAGTCTATTACCTGGCAGTTGACTTCAAACTACCATGAGTAAGTCTATTAACTGGCAGTTGACTTCTGAGTTCAAACTATCATGACCCCAAGTCTATTAACTGGCAGTTGACTTCTCACTTCAAACTAAGATCTATTAACTGGCAGTTGACTTCTCTATGTCATATTCGTTATATTAACTGGCAGTTGACTTCTCACTTCAAACTACCCGACTCAATAAAAAAGTCTATTATTCGGCAGTTGACTTCTGACTTCAAAGCGGCAAAAAAGTCTATAAACCGGCAGTTGACTTCTCACTATCGGCAAAAAAATTCTATTAACCGGCAGTTGACTTCTGACTTCAACGCAAAAAGGTCTATTAACTGGCAGTTGACTTCTCACTTCACAAAAAAGTCTATTAACCGGCAGTTGACTTCTGACTACTCAAACGGCAAAAAAGTCTATAAACCGGCAGTTGACTTCTGACTGAAAAGGTCTATTAACTGGCAGTTGACTTCTGACTTCAAATAAAAGTCTATCAATCGGCAGTTGACTTCTCACTTCAAACTAAAGTCTATTACCTGGCAGTTGACTTCAAACTACCATGACAAGTCTATTAATCGGCAGTTGACTTCTGACTTCAATTACCATCAAGTCTATCAACCGGCAGTTGACTTCTGACTTCAAACTACGTCTATCAACCGGCAGTTGACTTCTCACTTCAAACTACCAATCAGCCCGACTGCTTGTCATATTCAACCCCTTCAACAGCACTCGCCCCACTGTATGTCATATTCGACTACTTCCACAGTACTCGCTGACTCCATGTCATATTCGATCATTTTCACAGTACTCACACAAACCGGCAGTTGACTTCTGACTTCAAACTACCATGACCAGATCTATTAACTGGCAGTTGACTTCTCTATGTCATATTCGAAGTCTATAAACCGGCAGTTGACTTCAAACTATCGGCAAAAAAATTCTATTAACCGGCAGTTGACTTCTGACTTCAACGCAAAAAGGTCTATTAACTGGCAGTTGACTTCTCACTTCACAAAAAAGTCTATTAACCGGCAGTTGACTTCTGACTACTCAAACGGCAAAAAAGTCTATAAACCGGCAGTTGACTTCTGACTGAAAAGGTCTATTAACTGGCAGTTGACTTCTGACTTCAAATAAAAGTCTATCAATCGGCAGTTGACTTCTCACTTCAAACTAAAGTCTATTACCTGGCAGTTGACTTCAAACTACCATGAGTAAGTCTATTAACTGGCAGTTGACTTCTGAGTTCAAACTATCATGACCCCAAGTCTATTAATCGGCAGTTGACTTCTGACTTCAATTACCATCAAGTCTATCAACCGGCAGTTGACTTCTGACTTCAAACTACAATGAGCCGACTATTGCCCCATCCACAGAACTCATCTTACCTTTTTTATGCATTTATGTCTTTCTGTCTCACTTCAAACTACTATGGCCCGACTATTTGTCATATTCGACCCCGTTCACAGTACTCATCTTACCCTTTTTATGCCTTTGTGTCTGTCTGTCTGTCTCTTTTAAAGTAATGTCTATTAACTGGCAGTTGACTTCTCACTTCAAACTACCAAATAAAAAAGTCTATTATTCGGCAGTTGACTTCTGACTTCAAAGCGGCAAAAAAGTCTATAAACCGGCAGTTGACTTCTCACTATCGGCAAAAAAATTCTATTAACCGGCAGTTGACTTCTGACTTCAACGCAAAAAGGTCTATTAACTGGCAGTTGACTTCTCACTTCACAAAAAAGTCTATTAACCGGCAGTTGACTTCTGACTACTCAAACGGCAAAAAAGTCTATAAACCGGCAGTTGACTTCTGACTGAAAATCAAAAAGTCTATTAATCGGCAGTTGACTTCTGACTATTTCCACAGTAGCTCACCCCACTGTATGTCATATTCGACCCCTTCCACAGTACGCCACCACCCCACTGTATGTCATATTCGACCCCTACCACAGTACTAACCCCACTGAATGCCGTATTCTACCACTTTTACAGTATCCATCACCCACACTGTATGTCATATTCGACCCCTTTCAAAGTACTCATCTTACTTTAACGGTACAAGTCTATTAACTGGCAGTTGACTTCTCACTTCAAACTAACAAGTCTATCAACCGGCAGTTGACTTCTGACTTCAAACTACGTCTATCAACCGGCAGTTGACTTCTCACTTCAAACTACCAATCAGCCCGACTGCTTGTCATATTCAACCCCTTCAACAGCACTCGCCCCACTGTATGTCATATTCGACTACTTCCACAGTACTCGCTGACTCCATGTCATATTCGATCATTTTCACAGTACTCACCACTGTGTGTCATAGTTGACCACTTCTACAGTATTCACCTTACCCTACTCTCTATTATTGTGGCTGTGTGTCATATTCAACCCCTTTCACGATACTCATCTTACCATTTCTCTACCTTTGTGTCTGTCTGGCTCTTTAAAATCTGTAAATCGCTCTTCTTTTCCCCCCATCGAATTTTTCACACTTTAATATTCCTCCCTTTTGTCAAGCCCAAAGTCAGCTAAAGGGCTAATGATAACTATCAAAATGCCTGCCATTTGATATAAATAAATATTTGGTAAACAGGGTGCCTGCCATTGGAAAAAGTATTGTGGATATGCTTTCAGGAATACGATAAGATTACAGAAACTTAAATATTCAATCAAGTTAAAGTTGGAAACAGGATTACGGGTATTGGAAAACCCACGTCATATTTGATTACTTCCACATTACTCTCCTCACCTTTATTATACCATTGTGTCTGTTTCTTTTACATCTTTGAAACAATCTTCTTCCCCCCCCCCCTCCCCTTTCGACTTTTTTTTCACTCTGATGTTCCTTCCCCTCTGTGGAGCCTGAAGTCCACTAAAGGGCTAATGATAACTATCAAAACGCCTGCCATTTGAAATAAATGAATGTTTTTTTTAAATACAGGGCATCAAAATGTGACTAATTTAGAGTTAATTTCTTTGAGCATTGATGAGACTCTTATTTTGAAAGTTGGGGCTGTCAATGTAGAACATTTTAATTCTTAACCCCTTAAAACTTGTGGAGCACGCGATCCTAGCACAATTAAACTAAACAATCCCATGCACTCTCGAATAGCCTGAAACGAGCAGCCGTGGTACTGAAAATGAGATAATGGATGCAGAAACTTCTCACACAGTCACAAATCAATAGTCGCTGCATTACTTGACAAATGCATAATTGAAATTTAATGGATAAGCTCTATGTCAGACACACAAAGCCCAATTAAATGTCTGTTTTAACTACAACTTCGTGGTAGCTTAGCTAATTCTGGGAGGCATTTCAAACTAGGCGATCTTGCCAATGAATTTACTGAGCACAATTCAAGCCTTATTAATTTAGCAATCCCCGACAAGGTTACCCAATGTCTGGCCAAATGATGAATTTCATCCGAGACACCTCACTGAGTTCAACTGAGACCATTTCGATTAATTAATCATTATTTCATTTTAATACAGTACAATTGGTCAATAGCCCCCCCCCCATCTAATCTCCTTTCATTGGCTTATAAAACTGGATTTGAATCTGAATTCAAATCAAATTGTAAGCTTAGTCATCAAAGAGTACAAATTTAATTCGACAAATCAGTATCAAGTCTCTTGTGAAATTAAGCATTAATTCGCCATAAATGTGCTCAAAATTTGCGAAGATTACGGAAGCTTTCAGGGAGACAGAGCAGGAACGAAAGAATGAATACCTTTTTTACATGGGCTTGGTACCAACAAAAATTAAAAAGTAATTCAATAACAATTTAATTTTTGCTTTTAATCAATCTGACAGATTTGGCCATTTATGTTGATAGATTGTTAGATAGAGAGGGCCCTTAAACTACTTTTCTCTCTAATATTTGTCAAATTCGCTCTTTGCGAATACAATGATGGGCTCGAACTCACAGAATAACATGTTGCAACTAACTTAATGTAACTAATATTTTTGATTTAAATAAACAGACATTGATTATGTATCCACTTAATGACTGGATAAGTCTGATCAATATAAAACTGCGAGTGTTAGACACTTAGAAGAACTTGATGAACCTTGCTCCTTACTTCCCTTTTAAACATCCTAGTGGTTATGGCCTTTTTTTAATATATGTTAGGAAAAGCCGCATAGAGGAACAGCCTGATTGGCGCGAAAGGTATTCCCGTCTTTTTCAAAGATCCGATTCCAAACTCCAGGTAGAGTCACCTTCGACTGAAGACATCTCAAAAAAATCAAAAGCTTCAAATAAGCCACTTCGCCGGGAACTATGTACGTCGGCATCGAGGGCATTCCCTACAAGATCAGTGAAGATAGCAGTAGTAAAAGGATCTACCAAAATCATTGAAGCAAAGTCTGTTGCAACAATAAGTAACTTCTCAAGGTCACTGCGGAAGCCAAAGAAGCCACCTATTGAAGTATCATCGGCGCCTGTGTCAAAAATTGTCTCCACTAGCGATTTGAAGGTACCAGGGACTAACTATTCACGTTCAGAGCGGTTATCTTGTCAGAGCTCAAGGCCACAGAGAAGAAAAGTAAGGAAGGATCCACTGGTAGCGCCGAAAGCGAAAAGGAGAAAAATTGGACAATGACACTCCTTCCCCCCTACACCTCTCCAAGCATTGTGTTATATTTGCCATGTTCCTTAAACTAAGATTTATTGTGTAATTCGGTGAGAAATCTACATTGGTTTCGTATCATTTCACTTGTTTGCGGTTGCATTAAAGCATTTCATAGCTTTTAATGAGCTTAATGTACGTTATATCCGTTCCTATAGATGTTCATAAGCTTTTTCTAACAATTAGTCTCATTAAATTTGGAAATTAGGTCAGAAACCGGGCCTTGGGGTGCTAAGATGCTGTCGGATCAGAACAGACGTTTATACCAACTCCCATAAAATGTATGCAAACAAGCATTAACATTTTCAGTTTCTTCCTCTTCTCATTTTACCACCTCCAATTTATCGTCACTCAGAAATTTCTATGACAGACACTTCTATGTTTTGAAAAACAGGGTGTGCGAAAGACTTATTTCCACGTGGTGCACCCTGGGCATAAAAGTCTATTAACCGGCAGTTGACTTCTGACTTCAAACTACCATGACCCAACTGTATGTCATATTCGACTACTTCCACAGTACTCACCTCACCTTTTTCTACCTTATCTCCCTTCGTCTTTGAAACACTCTTCTGTTCCCCCCCCCCTCCCCACCTCTCGAACTTTTTCACCTTGATATTTCTTCTCTGTGAGACCTGAAGTCACCTAAAAGGCTAATGAAACTATCAAAATCCCTGCCATT